CATTGAAATTATCAACTTTGCTTCTATGGCCTGGCAGCATGTGAATGACAAAAAGAACACAAACGCGCGCATAATTGTCAATTTGACAAGAAGTATTCCTCGAAGTATTCAATACAAATTATACAATGACAAATTGCGATATAAAGTGCTCTCAAATTACACTTTTTGCAATTCAAACCAATACGTCCGCTCCTTGCCAACGAATTTTACTATTGGAAAGTGGAAGCATTGTAATTTAGATTTGTCCATCCCTCCCTTGGTAATTTAATATCCTGGGAGCCACGTGACCAGCCGGCACCAGGGTCTTTCCCACTGAGCTCTACTATATATATCTGGAGACCGTGCTCGCAAATGAAAAGTGTCCGCAAAAACATGGCGGATTTCGAGCTCCACGTCCACTATTCTCATGGTACGTTAACTGACCACAGCTCAAATGCGTGCGGGCGACATTTCCCACTCCCCCCTGACCAGAGAGCCACTGATCTTTATAATTTTTAAAAAAGGAGTACATTGGAGAAGATTAGTAAATATTTATAGTTACATATAGGGGTAAAAGGTTTCTTCTGAACTTTACCAACTACTATCAAGTTCAAGCTGGAGCTTTAATTCATTCGAGCGACTATCTCCACAATTTCTGCTGTGAAATGTATAAATGATGATCCAAACAGATAATATAAATGAGCTGAACGAATGGTGGTATTTTGGCCATGTCGCATGTATGCTTTTGGAGTATCGGTAGGTGCAGACCTACAGTATTTTGTGTGGAGCCGTAGAAAATGAGTAATAAATTACTAAATTAACGAGAAATTGAAATAATTGTCATGATGGGAAACAAACTTTTGAAATTTCGAGGACTATGGTGATTCTGTTTCCATATGTTAATAAATAAACAACAAAAGCTGAAAAGCACTACAGGTGAGGCATTTTTCAAAATTTTAATGAAACACTTGTACTGTACCATACATTCCTTTATTGAAATATACTATAATTTATTACTATTATATAATATTTCAACTCGATTACTACTTGTATATAATGCACATATCAATGGCCTGGCCCTGGGGGTACACCCCCGGGACATTGCAAAAACATGATTCTAATGCATTAATTCCCCCTCCCTCCCCCGGGAAATGTGTAAGTCAAACTGCCCTCCCCCTGGGCTTACAATAAAGTAGTTCATAATATAAATAGTCCTGCTCATACAAACAATTAAAAATTATTATACAAACTGGGGTATCACAATGGCACTCATGTATTCCATATTTATTTATTCAAATTTTAGCAAGACCACTACAAAATATCATAAATAATATGTTGCCGATCGATATTTTTCTGTGAGCCTGTGATTTTGAGTTCACACCAATTATGTCCAACCTCGGAATTTTGAAAAAAATTTTCATTTTTTTTTCCAACCTCGGAATTGTGGAAAGTACTTCATTTATAAAATTCAAATTGTCACGTCAAAGTCCCTTACTTCCCCTCCCCCCATCGTCCTATTATTGCGAAGTTTGTAAGGGAGTGGTCATTATTTATGGGAGGGGGGGGGTTGGGAAATGGGAGGGGGGGACAAAGTTTTACCCTTATAAATAGGGGGGATCAAAAAAGTTTTAACACAGAGAAAAGGGGGGGGGTCATAAAAGTTTTTGAACTTAAATACGATGTCTAGAGTTCTGATTTCTATAATCACAAATAGCAAAAAAGAAGACTCTGAAAATGCTATTTCCAACAATCTAGATACTCAAAATTTCCCTGCTCTGGGGTGGACATCTACAAAAAGGGACCATACTATATTGAGTGCGGAGAGATGACAGATGGTTGTTGGTGACAAAAAGTTTGGTGCGGTATTGTATGTACTAGTAGGGGGGTCCGGGGATTCTCCCCCAGAAAATGTTTTGTATTTTTCCACCCCTAGAACTGAAATGTAAGCATTTTCTGAAACAGATTTTTGGATATACAACGTTACATTGTGTGTTGATAGACCGAATCTGATCAGTTAAGTGTATTTGCATGGTATGTTTATGTAAATAACACAACTGGGTCACTCAGGGGGTAGCAAGCTTGTTAAACTTTGTGTGCCCGACTCCCATGATTGCGAGGCACTACCATGGTTGGTGCCCAGACAAGTTCTTAAAAAAACGCTGTGTTCAAATCATTTTGCTGTATGAAGATGGGTCATGGGTTAGGGTTATGGTGGGACAAATGTTGCATTGCAAAGTAGTAACACATAATATATATTTTTAATCACATATGGTTGAATCATATTCACCAGGGTAAAACATCATGAGCTAGATTAAACAGATTGTCCTAATATCTAACTTTACATGCAATGCACACCTGTTTCATTGCTGTTAATTTTTCAATCCACACTGGGGGGTGGGGGTCAGAAAAGTTTCTACTTTTATGAGGGGGGAGACACAACAAGTTTGCCTTCAGTCTGGAGGGGGGTCAAAAAAGTTTTCAATCCTTATTTTCCCCATATCCCAACACCCCCCACTCCCCATAAATAATGACCACTCCCTAATCTCCCCGGGGTTCACAGGAAGAACACACAGATAAAATACCAAATTCCCCCTTGTTTCCCCCCCCAGTTGTCCCAGGGTGTACCCCCCGGACAGGCCGTTCATATGTGCATAATTCTCTTTCAAATTGTATAAAAAGTATGTTGTTCCTTTTGCATTTCTACTATACATATAATTTTAATGTATAAATTTGTGAACACAGCCATGCTTTGTTGAAACGAAACTTATGTCGGTTTATGCATGTATCATCTAAATATTTACTGCTGTTTGTATTTTTCAGATTATGGAAACTGCACATTGTTGATCATGTCTACTCACAATGTACTCTGTGCACATTATGGGGAAAGTAAATCTGCACTAATAAATACCCAAATGTATATGGCTCTACGTTTGTCCGGCTGGAATCATTGTTATATTCGATGGCAATTCATGGCAATAGAATCATATTGTTTGACCAGGCAAAGGATTAGTTAATTAAGGATCTAGCACACCAAACAATAATTATATATTATTTTATTAAACATATTCTTATGTGCATTATTAATTTTCATTACAAATTAGATTTATTCAACATTTAAAAAGTTTAATTTAAAAATATATACAATATTATTATATTACTATTACAGGCCATCAATAAGTATTCTTGGTTTCATACCCACGTTTTATTTTGTTAATTCCATAAGGGTATTCTCGGGTTGTCCCAAATGATACAAGTGAAACACGCACATAGCTATCGCTTTTAATAAAAGAGTATTTGATGTCATATTTACTTCAATATATTTTATTGAAGCTATGCTGGCTATAATTAGCTGATATTTCCAGTGGTGGCACCAGCAGTGGGGACATCCCCCCCTAAAATATTTTTCAAACCAAGCATATTTATTAATGGCCTAATAAATAAATTAAAATTAACACACAACACTCACACAACATTCACACATTATAACATACACAAAGTTACTTAGTGAATTATCATGGCAATTGTGCCAATTATGTTGTTCTTGAACAATTGTCTGAGTGGGTTTTTGCTCTATTTGGGCACACAATTTTTGTATGCCCTCTTTTAAAACACATCCAGCATACCATTCCTAGTAAATGTACAATAAATTTTAATATAGAGGGGCCACAAAAAAATTTTGACCAGTGAAGGGGGGGGGGAGAAAATATTTTGAACATAAAGGGGGGGGGGCAAAAAATAAAATCTATAGTTTGTAACATGCAATATCAAAAGAGTGATGGATATATACAGTATACATACATTGAACAGTAATGCCCAATATATTGAACCTAAAAGTTGTGTTCTAGGCACTGTATATGGAAATTGTCATCCTCATCATCACCAAAGAATTTGTCTAAAGGGTCATGCACTGCATTTGCAAATGCAAGATTCAGTTGACAGTTGTTGTCCTGCTTTTAACACAGTGGACCTCTTTTGCATGTTCTGTTTCTGCATGTTGTTGACAGTCTCTTCTGCCATCTCTTCAATATACAGTAATGCTTCCACCAGACACAAATGTATTTTTTTCAATTAGTAAAAGTAGGTCTGATTTGTGGGTTTTTTGTTTGAGGACCAACAACTTTTCAGGTATAAAGTCTGAATTATCTACTTGGCTATCATTTTCAATATTTACAATATTCTTTATTTTCAATATTTACAATATTCTTTACATCTGCTAGTAAACTGAGTATGAGGGCAGGAAAAATGGTTACGAAACTGACTTAGAGTAATTGAATTCAGAATTGGGGTGGAGGGGGGGCTATGAAATATGTTGCCTCAATAAGGGGGGGGGATAAAATAGTTTGTTAGAAAAATAAGGGCCGGGTCATGAAAAATTTTTGCAATTCATAAAAATTTCCTCCAGCCCCCTACCCGGCATTAATAATGACTTGTCCCTTAGCACACTGTTACATATAACACTTTAACACTTTAAATCGCACCAATGACCTGAGCAAACCTTTGTGTAACTATTGTTGGTATTAGCATCCGGTCTCAATACTAATTTCTGGCTTTTGCCCTTTATCTCATACATATCAGCACTAAAGAGATCTGAACACAAACGACTACTTTTCGCAGGAACAGACTTCACTGTCGCATGTTTATTCATATACTCAACCCATATGCTGTACAACTCTGGATGCTTCTTTGCATCAGGAATACTTAAATATGTGAAGGGAAAAAAATTCAATAACAATATGCTTTCATAAATACAAACAGGCCTATAAAATACACTGTACAGTAGGTAGGAAAAACGCACACGAGAACATCACAAGGAACAATGGAAATATAATATTTGAATGAAACAAACTGCATGCAAAAACATCAGAAAGGAGGCCATAGTCGAGAAAAGCTGGTATGTGACACATGCACGTGAACAAAACATAAACTACAGAAAAAACTTCTCGAATGATATCTAAGCACAAAATAATATTTCCTTACCAGTGACAGTGTGAATACAATCCGTCTTTGTCAAAGGAGTTGTGACAACCATAAACCGAGCAATATTAACGCGGCATGTTGACAAAATATAAAGTTGTGAAACTTGATAGTTTAATAATTACACAGTGTATACTTTTTGCATCCAGGGGGGTGCGAAAACAGGTGGCTTTCAAAAATATTATGTGGTCAGTGGTAAATCGCCCGAAAATAGTGGACGCGGAGCTCGAAATCCGCCATGTTTTTGCGGACACTTTTTTGTTTGACGAGATATGGGAGCACGATCTCCAGATATATATAGTAGAGCTCAGTGCGTCGTAATCAATACTGACGGCCGCGAGTTGGTTATTAAACCGTGTAGCAAAGCACAGAACACGTCACAAGTAATATACAAAATTATTCTGGTTATAAATAATATATGGTAATTATACAAACTATGTCTTACGTCATCTATAACGACTCTGCATGAATGCCATACGCCAAAATGATGTACGTTTTTGGCTTTTTATCCATCTGCCAGAGCGCCAGTTTGCCAGAGCGCCGGCAGTTTTGCCAGAGCGCCAGTTTGCCAGTTTTGCCAGAGCGCCAGTAGTGCCAGAGCGCCGGCAGTTTTGCCAGAGCGCCAGTTTGCCAGTTTTGCCAGAGCGCCAGTTTTGCCAGAGCGCCAGTTTGCCAGAGCGCCAGTTTTGCCAGAGTGCCAGTTTCGCCAGAGTGCCAGTTTCGACATAGCGCCAGTTTGCCAGTTTTGCCAGAGCGCCAGTTTTGCCAGAGTGCCAGTTTCGCCTGAGTGCCAGTTTCGCCAGTTTGCCAGTTTTGCCAGAGCGCCAGTTTTGCCAGAGTGCCAGTTTCGCCAGAGTGCCAGTTTCGACATAGCGCCAGTTTTGCCAGAGCGCCAGTTTTGCCAGAGTGCCAGTTTCGCCAGAGTGCCAGTTTCGACAGAGCGCCAGTTTTGCCAGAGCGCCAGTTTTGCCAGAGTGCCAGTTTCGCCAGAGTGTCAGTTTTGCCAGTTTTGCCAGAGCGCCAGTTTTGCCAGAGCGCCAGTTTGCCAGTTTTGCCAGAGCGCCAGTTTTGCCAGAGTGCCAGTTTCGTCAGAGTGCCAGTTTCGACAGAGCGCCAGTTTGCCAGAGTGCCAGTTTTGCCAGAGTGTCAGTTTTGCCAGAGCGCCAGTTTTGCCAGAGCGCAAGTTTTGCCAGAGCGCCAGTTTCGCCAGAGCGCCAGTTTCGCCAGAGCGCCAGTTTACTAAAGTGCTAGTCAGTTTTGCCAGAGCGCCAGTTTGCCAGTTTTGCCAGAGCGCCAGTTTTGCCAGAGCGCCAGTTTTGCCAGAGCGCCAGTTTTGCCAGAGTGCCAGTTTTGCCAGTGGCAAGTAAAGGAATTCGCTGCTTTTCTTTCAAACCATATCGTATACTGAACTTAACTAAGCGTACTGCTTTGTTTCAGAGAATTAAAACAGAAATTACTTTGACGCAAAAGAAAATATGCTGAAATATATTGCGATTTACGAATAAGTTAAAATTGCAATTCTACTACTAGACTATACATGCTCTTGCGTTCAATCTGGTTTGTTATGGGACCTTTGTCAGTTTGTCTTGCATATGAAAGATTTATTACTGTATATATGATCACACCATCTTACATAACAAGTTATTGTCTTTGTCTATTGCTCATATTTGTTGAGGAAATATTGTTATAATACTTTGATATTTCTAAACCAGAGAGTCGAAATTCAAAATACCTGCCCTGAAGCAGAACTGCGATAACAACGAGCCGGTAATGTGGCACTTGAAGTGTCACGCATTTAATCAAACATTATCAGTAACATAACAATAATGAAATATTTTGAATAGTTCAACTTCACGAAAATATATTCATTTAATTTTCAGTCATTTTGTGTAAAGCTATTAAAGACCATGTAAAGTCCGTAATGTAAACAAACGCTTTGTTTACATTTTGAACTCAGTGCTACAGTTGTAAAATATGATTAGATATATATTATACTGAATTTTTAACACTCTTCTAGGCCGTTGGATGAGGGTCGAAAATGTTCAATTCCGTAGCACCCCTCGTGTAACTACATAATTTTTACATGAATCTATAGATTATAACTTACTTAGTTAGAATCCACTTCCCCCCAAGCGAAATAGTTGCACAAATGGAAGTATAAGCTCTTCAAAGTTCACGCTTCCTCGTGTTTCGGAATCCATGAACCGCCATTGTTGTGTTGCAAATACGCATGCGCTTGAGCACAAAACACGTAATGCGCACGCGCAGATAAGAAAAACTGATCTCAATCTTGGACTGGACAAGAAAAATTATGAAATATGCGAAAACAGGGCTGAAGTAAAACAAGATGACATCGGAATGTTTTAAAAATATATGATATTTTTATGTTCTGTGCATTTTAATGGAGTTTACCAAACATTCTGAGCAATGTACCGTATCGAGCCCTCGCCAGGAACACTTCCAAGCCAACATTACAATAATAACTTATTTAAAATATTAATTAAAATATGATGTTATTTTATACTACAGCAATTGCATAACGTTTGCAAGCAAATTTGTTTTTCAGGCTTTAAATATTATCACAATCCTAAACATTCAGGGCCGTACACAGCAGGGGAGGCAATATCATTATTAATTATTCATTGGATATTTGTGACGTTTTTCGGCATATAGGCCTTACTGCCCCCAGCTGATGAAAACATTCTGCATACGGTCCTGTAAACGTTCTAGAACTCAACTCATACCGTAATTTATCTTTTTTTTGGGGGGGGGAGGAGGGAGGTATTTCTAATATACACAAAGAATCTGTTTACACGTTTTATTCTCTTTAAATATGCAACATCGAGTACTGTGATTTTCCGTAAAATATCATAATTATCTTTCAAGTTTCAAATACAATTTCACTCCACGATTTCATACATTAATTGCCTACAGGAGAGGGCCGGGGGTGGGGAAGAAGTGGTGCTAAACAAAGAAATGACTATATACCATAAACTAAGTATTACTCGGTATTCACAATCTTATTTATTCTCTAAATCGTTTCCCGTCAATTAATTTTATTAGTCCAGGTAATGGTTGTTTATTGGCTTTGCGTCTAATCCATTATTAAGCCAAAGAACGGAGGTTAACTCTTTGCCTCAAGGGCCAACGTACCAATTCTGAGTTACGCTGACTGGAACCTCATTACGACTCTGTTTTTGTACCAACCAATCCTCAAACACTCGTATTTCGTTGTTCATGTACGCCTTTAGTGTAGCCATGTTGGGGCTCGGGGTACCCGCCCCCCCCCCTGGTAAAATTTTGGTGCCCCTGAGAAAATTTATTCTATAAAAAGAAGTGAAACATAGCCCACCTACGTTTTTGCTGCCCCCCTGACCAAAAATCCTGCATGGCTACGTTTCTGGACATTTTGGAAAGAAGTGATGTTTTGATAAAGAGAAAACTACTCAGTCTGAGTTAGGTAATAACAATACCTCCTAAAATCTACTACGCTATTTCCTTCTCCTTTGTTTTTTTTTTATAAACTGATCACGATGATTGCACAAATATACGGCTGAATTGGCGAAAAGGCGTTCGTGATAAAGGCGTGCATGATCAACAACGTAACACGAGTGTTTGAACACGAAATTGGCTGGTACAAAAACCGAGTGCGTAATGAAGTTCCAGTCAGCGTAGAGCCTGAACCTCCGTTCATTCTTATTAATAATGGATTAAATGCAAAAGAAATAATAAACAACGAACCTGGACTAATAAAATTGACAGGGAAAGATTTAGAAAATAAATAAGATTGTGAGCACCGAGTAACACTCAGTCATATTTAGGGAGTGGTCATTATTTATGGGGAGGGGGGACCGGGGGGTTGGGAAATGGGAGGGGGGAAACGAAGTTTTACCCTTATAAATAGGGGGGGTCAAAAAAGTTTTAACACAGAGAAAGGGAGGGGGGGGGGATCATAAAGGTTTTTGAACTTAAATACCATGTCTAGAGTTCTGATTTCTATAATTAATCACAAATAGCAAAAAAAGAAGGCTCTGAAAATGCTATTTCCAACGATCTAGAGACTCAAAATTTTCAAAATTACTGCTCAGCGCCAACCATGGTAGCGCCTCGCGATCGCGGGATTTGGGCCCACTAAGTTTAACAAGCTTTCTACCCCCTGAGTGACCCAGTTGTGGTATTTACATAAACATACCATGCGAGTACACTTAACTGATCAGATTCGGTCTATCAACGCACAATGTAACGCTGTGTATCCAAAAATCTGTTTCAGAAAATGCTCACATTTCAGTTCTAGGGGTGGAAAAATACGAAAAATTTTCTGGGGGAGAATACACCCAGACCCGCCTACTAGTACATACGATACCACACCAAACTTTTTGTCACCAACAACCATCTGTCGTCTCTACACCCTCAATATAGTATGGTCCCTTTTTGTAGATGCCCACGCCCTAGACAAGTTCTTAAAATCTCATTTCGCTGTATGAAGACGGGTCATGGGTTAGGGTTATGGTAGGACAAATGTTGCATTGCAAAGTAGTAACACATAATATATATTTTTTAATCATATATGGTTGAATCATATTCACCAGGGGCCAAAGCTGGTTGTTCAAAGCTGGGTTAGCTTAACCCTAGGTTAACCTAAAATTCAAAGCGAACTTCCTGACAGCTTGTCTATAAATTTTGGAAATATTTCTTCAGAGATCTTGTCTGGATGGATAGGAGTTTACTTGTCTGAAGTTTTGAAATAAACAGACGTGCAGAAATACACAAACTAAAACAACAGGTTAAACTTTTAACCCAGGGTTAGCGCTAACCCCCAGGGTAAAACATCATGAGCTAGATTGAACAGATTGTCCTAATATTTAACTTTACCTGCAATGCACACCTGTTTCATTGCTGTTAATTTTTCAATCTACACTGGGGGGGGGTCAGAAGTTTCTACTTTTATGAGGGGGGAGGCACAAAGTTTGCCTTCAGTCTGGAGGGGGGGGGACAAAAAGTTTTCAATCCTTATTTTCCCCATTTCCCAACTCCCCCCTCCCCATAAATAATGACCACTCCCTTATGGTATATCGTAATTTCTCTGTTTAGCACCCCCCACCCCTACTCCCCACCCCTTTCTCCTGCAACCAATTAATTAATGTATAAAATCGTGAAACATGAAAGTATTGTATTTGAAAGATAATTATGATATTTTACTGATAATCACAATACCCGATGTTGCATATATAAAGAGAATCAAACGTGCAAAACAGTTGTATATATTAGAATTAACTTCCCCTCCCCCCTTCTCCCCTAATAAATTGGATAGAGGAATTACGGTATGCATGTTCTAGAATATTTAGGATTGTGATATTATTTAAAGCCTGAAAAACAGATTCGCTTGCAAACGTTATGCAATTGCTGTAGTATAAAATAACATCATATTTTAAATAAGTTATTATTGTAATGTTGGCTTGGAAGTGTTCCTGGCGAGGGCTCGATACGGTACATTGCTCAGAATGTTTGGTAAACTCCATTAAAATGCACAAAACATAAAAATATCATATATTTTTAAAATATTCCGATGTCATCTTGTTTTACTTCAGCCCTGCTTTCGCACATTTCATAATTTTTTTCTTGTCCAGTCCTAGTTGAGATCAGTTTTTCTTATCTGCGCGTGCGCATTACGTGTTTTGTGCTCAAGCGCATGCGTATTTGCAACACAACAATGGCGGTTCATGGATTCCGAAACACGAGGAAGCGTGAACTTTGAAGAGCTTATACTTCAATTTGTGCAACTATTTCGCTTGGGGGGAAGTGGATTCTAACTAAGTAAGTTATAATCTATAGATTCATGTAAAAATTATGTAGTTACACGAGGGGTGCTACGGAATCTGTTTTCTAAGCATATTTTCGACCCTCATCTCACGGCCTATTATGTATGCCGGATAAATCCAGAGATAAATCAGTAACGACAGTGGTACAGTGATATAAGGAGCAATAATTAAACAGCTGAAGTACTTCAAGTACTGTTTAATAAACGAGCAGGAGTGTTTTATTAGGTTTAAACCTAAAAGACCTAATAAAACACGACCACAAATTCAATAGATATACTATACAGTAGATCAAACAGACTTACAAATTCAATATACTGCCTTATTACTATTCTTTATATAAAGAATACTAATTAGGAGTGTTTTATCGGGTTTAAAGCCACTGCACGTGACATATTATGGTTGATATGATTTGCCTATTAGCTTATGAATTATTAATGAGTGTTTGAAACTTTGAACTAGTGATAAATACACTAAAGGCAGTGAACGGCAGAAACCGAAGACAGTACAGATTCGAATCTACCAAATGCGCTGAGAATCGCCCATTTTGTCCACCATCTGCATGAGAAGAATCACCAGAAATCAAAGGGCTCAGTATCATATGCAGCAAATGAACAGCAGCAGTTGATAACAAAAATTGTAGCAAAAATAAGCAGATGATAGTGTTTTACTTAAAACAGCACTCATAAAAGAAAGGGAAATGATCGTTGCAGCCACAACTAAGTCAACTAAGCTTGACTACTAACTGATACTATCATTTCATCAACAAATCGATCTTATTTCACCTTTTTGCTGGTTGCCTCATTTTTGAATATTCCTCGAATCAACTGTGACCTTCTTCGGCCAGTCCCCCATTTTACCTCTATATACGAAAAAAACTTTATGCTTGTAATACCATATTTGCATACTGTAAGATTTGTATAACTCACTGGGCATATATATACGCAATTGATTTGCCAAAACAGTTGAACTTCATAAAAATTTAAAGCTACTGAGTTCGTTGTTTCTGGACGGCATATTTTCAATAACAAATTCATTTTTTCATATATAATCCTCACTGACACTGGTGATATGATCAAACTACGGTATTTCCAACGATAATTATCGAGTTAATCCTGCATGTACGTGATATAATTATTACTGTATTTATGTATATTAAACAGGCACACATATAGTCGGGCAGATAGAAGGAAAAAACTCACGATATTGGGGGACAATTCCATTTTGCCTTCATATTGTGCCCTGAAGGCTAGTAAGTACGTTTCTGTATGTTGGCCGCGTTAAAATTTCTTGTGGGCTTCTGCCGACACGTTTTTCTTTGAATGTTGTATGAAACTCTATTACAGTTAAAAAATGTGAAATTTCAAATACATTTCTAACACAAATGACTTACATAATTTGAAAGCTAGCAAAAAACTACATATAAGACATTTAAACGGTTACCCGGGTTTTTCAAGTTCTTCTTGAGTTATGAGCTGTTGAATGCATGTTTTCAGACTAGTACCCAGGAATTTTGCGAGATTTTGGCTTATTTTTCACATTTGAAACGGCAATAACTCGAAAACCGCTTGAAAATCCCAACTAACCATTTAAATATCTTACATGTAGTTTTTTGTTAGCTTTCTATTGATGCAAGTCATTTGTATTAGAAATGTATCAGAAATTTCACATTTTTTAACTGTAATAGAGTTTAATACAAAATTCGAAGAAAAACGTGTCGGCAGGAGCCCACAAGAAATTTTAACGCGGCCAACATACAGAAACGTACTTATTAGCCTTCAGGGCACAATATGAAGACAAAATGAAATTGTCCCACGATATGGTAAGTTTTCCATAATTTTGGTCCTCTATCTGCCTGACTAATATACACATTCATATCAACAAATACACATTAAGGGGCTGATTACATGGAGCGAAGGCTCCGAGCCCGGCTACATTCTTCCCATGTAATCACTTCAGCCCGGGCTGAAACTCTTTACACGCATGCGTTGTACAGTAGTGTTTTTACCAAATTTAGCACGTTAAGTTCATATATCCCGCGTAGCATGCGATAAATTTACCCGGGCTGAATCAGATTGAAAATACCCATGTAATCGTCAAAATTTTCAGCCCGGGTAGCCTGGCTGAAACGGCAGCCCAGGCTGAAATCGCTCCATGTAATCAGTCCCTAAATCTGTAATCTGCCCCTAAATCTGTAACCTGCCCCTAAATCTGTAATCTGCCCCTAAATCTGTAATCTGCCCCTGAATCTGTAACCTGCCCCTAAATCTGTATCTGCCCCTAAATCTGTAACCTGCCCCTAAATCTGTAATCTGCCCCTAAATCTGTAACCTGCCCCTAAATCTGTAATCTGCCCCTAAATCTGTATCTGCCCCTAAATCTGTAACCTGCCCCTAAATCTGTATCTGCCCCTAAATCTGTAACCTGCCCCTAAATCTGTTATCTGCCCCTAAATCTGTAATCTGCCCCTAAATCTGTAATCTGCCCCTAAATCTGTAATCTGCCCCTAAATCTGTAATCTGCCCCTAAATCTGTAATCTGCCCCTAAATCTGTAATCTGCCCCTAAATCTGTAATCTGCCCCTAAATGGAAGAAGCTGCGTTCCCGAGGATCTATATTTGAATTTTCCGCAGCTGCTCCTGGTTAGGTCTAAATGTATAAAATTTACACTCGAAATTTCCATGTAGAAAATCTTTCTGCATTCCAGTTAAAGTGTTTTTCATACGTGTAGATATACTCACGGAAAAGTTTAAATCCATTGAAATGTTGTTTATACATGAAATAACTACATGCATGAATGAAAGGAGGCATTTAGTTTTGTGCAGTTGCATTAATTTCGCAGGAGAAAACCTCGGACCCGCGAACAGGCTGCGTAACTTCTCCTGGTTAGGTCTAAATAAATGTATAAAAATTACACTCGAATTTCCATGTACACAATCCTTCAACATCAATTCAACAAGTGAGATGCCCCAAACTCCTGATATTTAACTGAAATGCAGCCCTAACCCGTTATCTACCAACTTCATTCCATGCAATATAATATTATGACAAACACCAGACAATTTTACTTGTCGAATGAAAGTCCTTGGACTTGGTAAAGGGTTCAACAGTCTCCATCATGGAGGTAACTGTTCAACATTGCGATTCAGTATATCAGGCTGATTTCAGATGTACATTTATGTTGATGTCAATGATTCACATCACCAACTGACTGACATAAACCATTGTCATAAATATTTTGCAAATCTTGGCTCGACAGATTGCAGTACAATGGTTTATTTTTTAGAAAACAAAGAACAGAAACCTTTTTGTTCATGAATTATTAATGTGTTTTACTGATAGGAACAATCATCATGTATACACTATTTAATAAAATAAATTGAACTCAACGAGCTAACATGCTATCGCGACAACTGCAGAGTTCGGATGTGCAACGGAAAACTGTACCAATGCCATAATAAAACCTTTTTTGACTGCACAATTGGATAAACCGTCTTTCAGTTCAGGAGGAAAAAAATTGTACTTTAATGTCAACCTTTATATCCAATAACAATCACTTTTTCCTAAGCCTTCATCGCCTCGCTGTCGACAGAACTTGCATGAGTTGTCTACATATCCATGTGAACAAACGGTCCACGACAACTTATATAATGTAAACCAAAGAAATCTCCGAAATATGTAGCACAAATCTAAACTAAACGAACTTTAGTAGTACAGGGGAGGTTGTTCAGAAGTCAATTGATCTTGGATTGAGCCTCGTTTCAAACACAGTGGATTTCGTAACAGTCCCGTCATGCCGCTAACAAATAACAATTGCTTGAATTATGGGGGGGAGGGGGGGTGCGAAGAAGAAATTCAACTAGCTAAGTAATATCCCTGTTAGTATAATAATGATATGGCTATTGCTACCTTATTAACATTTCCAAACTTTTTTAAGCAAAAAGCTGGAATGAATAAATGAATGAATGGCGTTAACTTCATTGTATGAAATTAAGAACTGAATGACTTCAACCTCAGCTACTTTAGTTTAGATTTAAGCAACCAGAACATTAGTCTTTTAGCCCAAGTACAATAAACGGTGAATATTTCAGTAATCATATTCGTCTTTGTCAAAAAGTGAGAAACTTTGGAAATCATTATGTAGGTTTGTGCTTGCTTGATTCGAACTTGCACCAAGCGAAGGCCAGTCAAGAGAAGGCATGCCTGCAATGTTCATATTTGCTGTAGGTAACCTCCCTTGTTGCCAGGTTGACGGTGGGAGAGGTGCAGCTGATGGATCTGGTGCCGATACAGGACCTGCCCATCCCATAGGCGCAGTATTAGGAGGGCGTACCCCTCGACCACGCCCTGCACCTAGTGTACCTGACCATGGGGATTCATCTTGACTTGATGAAGGTTGACTCTCAACTTTCCTGTGTTCTTCTCCTCCTGCGATACCAGGCATGGCTGGTCTTCTTAAAGGTTGAGTAGGAATTGCCCTACCGCGACCACGTCCTCTTCCAAATGCTGGTAATCCAGTAGGGAATGCGTTTGGTGTGTTGCTTGGTGGAGGAACTACGTCAGTTGACTTTAGACTTTCTTCATCATACGTTGGACCACGTCTAGCATACTGTTTCTTTCTCCCCCCTATATACAACAGAAAATATAGGTTTTCGTTTTTCGTACTCTCGTTTCATCATTGGGGACCTTGCCATCATATGACGACCTTAATCCATAGTCTACCAAGGTTGGAAAATAATTGTCACAGCTTTGTTGCACAGTTGTTCAGCGATCAATCAAGGGTTTTTGCAAATTAATGTAAATATCTTACCAGATTGATAATTGTTATTGTTTCTATAACCACGGTAATCCATATTTGCCTCGTCGTCCTTTCTCGCTTGTGATCTTGCACTGCTTGGTCTAGAATTACTGTTGGCAGTTCTAGGTGTTATTACTGTACACGAGTCTCCATCAGGTCGTTCAGGAAGGTGATTGGAGGTCTGTTCAATACCAAACGCTCCACAAAGAAAATCTGATAGGCAATAGCTAGAATTCAAATTAAGATTGAATACACATTATTACACTGGCGTTTGCACAGTTTACCCTAGTTGGTTAGTGCTACGCGGATCTAATTTTCTCATTTGTCATAGTCTCTGTTGACGAATATGGGTTAGTAATAAAGCGCAGAAATTATAAGAGCGCTGGTTAAAGAAGTTAAACAAGAAAGGAATAAAATACGATATATACTAACCAGTATCGTTTGACAGTACCAGAGGCACAGAATCTTATTTCCCTTTCCTCGTGCCATTTGCATCTGAAATACGGTACATGTTTTATAACACAATGTATATACAGAATAAATGTGCGTATACCGTGGCCTAAGTACCCTGCATGGCTATCATGTTAACATTTCAAAAGAATTTAACCTTAGAATATTGCCAGTTATGTTTTAAGAGGAGATTTTTTGTATGTTACGTAACACGCGCTCAAAACTAATGCGTATAATGTACCACTTGAGGTTATGACTAAATTCAAAATTTTTATTTTTCGATACGTTTCTCAATCGGCAAACAAACTTAGAAAGTATGTTTAGTGCTTTATCTGTAAAATAATGCTAAAATGAAGAGATTTTAGATGATACGCCAAAGAGAAAATTATGTCTGAAGTTCAGTAAGTTTTGCTTATATATGGCTTAAATATGGCGTCAATTTTAAAGCATCATTGATAATTGTATTTTAATTGACAATATTTAACTATTATTTTATGTTTCTCAACCGGCAGATGCATTTAAAAAGGTAGCTAACTGTATAAACTAGAGAATAAAGCAAAAACAAAGTGATTCTGAGAGGAACGCCAAAAAGATTTTAGGTTTTGAACACTTTTCATTGCAAATACGTGACATTGAAAAAATTTTAATTTTATTTGCATATAATAAAAATTTCAAAGTACCAGCATTTCTGAAAGTATAGTCATTTTATTAGTGGGCTTCTGTAAGCGTAACTATAGACAGCGAATGATGGTCATAAATATTAACATTGATGAAAGCACGAAAATTACCATACGTCTGCCTAAGGCGTAGAAAATAGCGGACCATGGACAAATGGGATCACTAATGAAGTACAGTATTTAGTGGCGAACACTTCGCAAAATTGTACGGTCCTGAGTAAAATTAGCTATATGTACCTGTAGTACTGTAATACATAGTGAGAAAATATTTTTGAAAATAAATTATTCCTTACAAACCTTGCTCCTGACTCGTAATCAAAAACTGTGGTTGATAGGAGTTCCATAGCTTGATGTTTGGAAGGAACCATTCTGGACTCGGCATCTCTTGATTCAGCGAAAAGATCAGAAATTAAGCCTTCAAGTTCATAAACCTTTTTGATCTTGTTCGAACTTCCTATGAAAATTTAAGAAAATGTGCAGTAAGTACGAAAACTAACAGAAGGGTACCAATTTTCTCTCCAAAAATATTGTCAAACCCTTTATGTACAATAGGAATTTTTTGTATTTGTGTTCCTACAGTATATCAAGGTTTTTGGACATCTCGTTCGATATAACTGAATGTAGATAAGATATATGTAGATGGCAGTTTCGAACGAAGATTTATATACGATTTTAGACCTGGAACCATGCAGCTGCGAAAAATGCAACTTTAGGCCCTCCATCAAGGATGGAACCTGCGGCCCTGCGATTCCAGTGCATGCAGCGTCTAACCAATATATACAAGAACTCCTATACAACGCTCGGCAAGGTGCGATAATTCGCGTACTTACGTACCCGGAGGTACGCCAATATTACGGTCTGGTACGTCTTTGTTTTCAGCCACGTACCACGTACTGTATAGGTACGCGGAACTCGTGCTACCTACGTACTTACTTTTTGCTGGTACCACATGACCTTTCCAAGCCCAGGGTATTCAATACTGTAATTTAGTTTGTATATAATGTGTCTGAGATGCCTTGATGACATGCAACATGGAACTAAAAACGATTGGAGTCGATTGTTTGTATGTGCGTAGACATGCAGCTATTTCAATTAAGCATTCATTTATTAGCGATTCCCAGCAGCCTTTCGCGCTCGTATTCGACTTTTCCGCTTTACTCGGGGGACAACCTTAATTGAAATAGCTGTATATGCAATTGTGCTTCCTTTTCTATAACTCGTAATCTGAACATTCAGGTGGCAAAAAAAATTATAAGAGCTTCGGGCATAATAGCAAAAATTAGACATTCTGTAACCCGAAATACAGGAAAATTAATTTACTATGCATTAATCTATCCATATCTTATCTACGGCAACTTGATTTGGGGTAATACCTACAAAACCCGAATACAAAAAATAATGAATATACAGAAAAAAATTGTTCGATTGATGACATTTAAATCGTATTTGGAACATACTGAGCCTATTTTCAAAGAATTAGGCATCCTAGATATTTTCAAAATAAATGATTATTTAATTGCCATGCATGTTCATGTTTCGTTACCACCATCTTAAGAATCTACCAGAAGTTTTTGAAAATTATTTTGTAACAAATAATCAGATCCATGAGATACACGAGAAATGCATATTTTATTGATATTTTAACATAACTCTTTTATTTAGTACTCCTGCTTTATCATCCTTCTTTTCTAAATAGCATATATTCTAAAAATTACTTTTTTCATTATCTTTAACTGTAAATATATTAATTAACCTCATTATGAACCACAACTACAACTAGGGGCCTAAACAAAAAAGCCTGTAAACTTAAGGTTTCTAGTAGGTCCCTAGCCCAATATCATTAGAAGAAAGTTGTTTTGTAATTATTAAAATCTGTACATATAGGGGAAAATAATAATAATAATAATAATAAAGGAACCTGTACTTTATGAACCTTATTTTAATGACTATAAGTGCACATTGAGTACTGAGTTTATGCAAGTACGCGGCAACAACCATGCATTGGCGTACCAGTCAGGTACGACTAAAAATTTTGAATTATCGTATCACCGTGCTCAGAATCGCGCAGCTGCAGGTTTGATTCCTGCCAGAGAGACCAAATTTGCATTTTTCGAAGGCACTCCCAGTTAGGTCTAAAATTGTACATACTGTAAATATCCGTATACTTATGTTCACTTTGCGATAAAATATATAACACTAACATATCTTTTTGGTTTGGAAAAATGCATATATTAAAGTTGTCAACTTTTTCGTATAATGCAAACTGGGTCTATTTATTGTAGACGTCTAATTTCATAAAAAACAAAACATATTGTCAGTTGCAACGTACCTGCACGCGTCGCAAGCCAGTCAAGTGAAAATTCAGTCAATTTCGTCTCAGAAGCCTGCACAAGTATAAACATATCAAAGAGTTAGATGTATAATTTATAAATGGGAAGTCATGGATACGATACATTTCATGTAAGATTGTGAAGACAATTACACAAAGAAAAGCAAGAGTTTCCGACCAAGTACTGTAATGATTCAATTAACCATTCTGTACAAGTTCCTCGCATATCATCCACTTCTACAGACTATAAATTTTGAAAACACTAACCTTGCAATACACAGGGGGATAGGTATTGAGTTTTCTTGGATTGACAAACGCCAAGACATCTTCATAAATTTGTTGATATGTCTCTGTCGAAAGGCCTTCAGGAGGGATTTGATGCGTTGCTTCGCCTTCAGAGAAAAAATCACTCCGTTTTTACTTCAATTAAATTTCTTGTTTAAAATGAAAAGGTTCAATGTCTCTTCATGTACAAAGGTTCATTCCTTAATTTTGATAAAACTAACCATGAGAATAATACACAGGTAAAGATGTGTTATTTCATTTTAATTAAATACAAAACAATATTCATCTGCCTATTTTCAAAAAAGCCAACTATTTATAAGCTTTATTCCTGGAGATCTTTGTAGCATGTGTTGGTCGAGAGCACGAATCTATGCTATTTTCCTTGACCAGGGTGTGTAGGTAGAATTATGTGCATGAATACCCGGTATGGGTTCAGTAGATTGTTGTGGGTGATATGAGTTGAGGTCGTTGAGAATTTATGGACCATCTTCGGTTTTGGCTACGAAAATGGCGGCCGGTTACGCTGACATCAAAGTCGTCGACATGGATTCAGACTTTTGTAAGTCTCTATTCTGTGACGTTAGTAGACTGTGCAACTCGCGAGCAGCGAATTTATAAATAGTTGGCTTTTTTGAAAACGTTGCATTCTCCTGAAGATGGCTGTAAACTATAGTAATAGTCGAATTAAAGGATTAAAATTATATGAATTTACGGAGTGTTTGTGTTTAATTAAAATACACTATAACAACCGTAATTATTTCATTTTGAGATACACAAATAAAAACTCTTACTTTGACGCATCGCCTCATACCTATAACCAAGCGGAATTGTGCCTAAAATTTAAGATATGTCAAACAATGAACAATCTCAGTACATTATCCTTGTCACAATCACTTCTAGCTACAAGTAGCATATATAACATTTATTACTACAGTATATATAGGATATTAGACGGTTGCGAAGAGATATGGATTTTATGTTCGAGTGGCAAGATGACACTACTCGTACCCGTACACCGAAACCGGGGTATCTTAACCTCTCTATTGTTTTTGACACGAGAACATAAATCCATATCTTCTCGCAACCGTTTAATGTTCTGTTTATTATATGGACTTACTCGGAGTGACAAAAATACACACAAAGACGACATGTAAATAAGCACGCGAATTGAAAGACCAGTATAAAAGCGATATTTTTTAAAATTATAGTGCATGCGTTTATAAAACTAGAATAAATTTTACTTATCTCAAGATGTCTTTTAAATGTTTTCGTTTTATTTCGAACGTTAATTTCGTTTTATATACGAACCAAAGACCATTTGTATTTTCAAAACAACAATGAAAATGGCGGGAAATTTTCAGAACTTCGTATGTCACTAGCAGGGGGTGAAAGGGGAACAGGGGGTGAAATACGGAAAATACGCGCATCTGCATGGCCCCGGATGTAGTGACGTATGAGTTCTACGAGTGTTATAGTTTCCAGTAAAACACCATTTTCCATATAATAAATATATATATACTCTTACAGTTACTAACTTACTGACTGCTTAGAAGTTCTTTTATAATAGAATCATGCGACTCATTATTGAGGAATTCGTGGTTAATATATAGTTCACCTAACATAATCTGGTTAATTCAACCATATAGCCTGGTTAAACTAACCAGAAATCCTGGTTAAACTAGTCAAGACTGGGATCAAATTAACCTGGCTAAGACTACGATTACGATTTCTATACAACTAAATTTACATCAAGTATTATCCTTACCTAATTACTTACTTACTTAGCCTAGACTATTATCTCTACGCCACCGACGCCACAACTGTGGTTAAATTAACCAGGAAATTTAACCAGGAACATTAAAGTTACCCCAAACAGTTTTAATTTCATAGTAAAGTCGCGAAGCGACGAGGGCAATTTGTAAAACTTTGAAAACACAAGCGAAATTAAACCTTAATTTTTCGAGGAACTATGCGATTACTTGTTAATCGGCCTAGAGGGCAAAATTTATTCGTAAGTTAATTGTGAACTTGTCAAGTTCTTGAACCTCGTATGTCTCCATGTCTTCGCCTTTTCGCCGTTGTTTCTTAATGCTGCCCTGCCTGCCAATTTCTAAATACTCCAACCAATAAATTTGTACTTTTCTTGTGTTTAAGTTTTCACTAGAACTTTTTAATTCTTCAATAACATCATTATCCTCGACGACAAAGCGAGAAGCCATGTTTTTATTGCTATTTAAAAAATAAACTTTCCAAGCTTGCGTCTCAGCCAATCAGGTACAAGTAATTTTGCCCTGAATTAAGAAAAAATGCCCTCCTCATTAGCCAATCATTTGCTCTCTAATTCTATATGATTAAGACACAAATATATTTTTCTTTGTTATTGACCCCAATCATATACTACCCCATTCCTAGCTAACCCTAACGACCCAGAGGCGTAGCCAGGGCTGGGGCCGGAGGGCCAAAAATTTTGGCCACCCGTGGCAAAATTTCCCCCCCCCCCCTGATAAAATGTATTGTACTGGTAAGGGTACCTGCAAGGTAGGGATTGTTGCGGGCATCAAGAGCAAATAGAACTAAAAATAGTACAAATTACATAAAGCATGCAGTTATTACTCGCAGCGAGCCGGCGACTTGTGAGCACTGTGGTCGGTGCTTAAGGAATACGGAATCGATTCATGCCATGAGTGTCTTCTGAGAAAAAGCAATGGCCAATGGCAAAGACCATGCACGGGTTCAAGAGCAATCACAGATTACAGATAGGCGTGTTAATGTTAATGTTTATGGAAGTAATATTCACTAAATCATAAGCAAGAATATGTAATATTTTCAAGATCAAGTGGAATTTGTTGAATTTAATACGCGCTGCTTTAGTACGCGTATAAATACAAACGACAAAGCATTCTTATTAAGACGTACAGTTAAATTATATAACACAAGTTTTTGCTATCTGATTTCATATTATTAAGTCTAATACTGCTAGGCGCATTTACTACATTGTATACACAGTATTAAACTAAGAAACCAAAACTTTATAATAAATTAAAATATAGAACTTACAGTGGTCAAAGTCCATTGAGTGAACAACGCACGAAGTGCAGTCACGTTATTTTATACACTAAATTATGGCCTTTACAGGGCTTAAAACTTTACTAAACCTTACGCCGAGTGCCTGAGTCAAAATAATTTACAAGTCGAAGCAAGCAAAACAATTAACAATTATTCGCCGAAGGCGAGGTGATTATCGGGGAATATTCGCCGAGACGAAGTCGAGGTGAATATTCCCCGATAATCGCCGAGCCTGAGGGCTGAGGCGAATAATTGTTTTAGTAGTTTTGCACAAGTTTTTTTGTGTTTTTCTTGTCTGAATTCATTTTAATTTCGCTTATTTCTTTATCACTAACCTGAACAAAACGGCTAGCCGCCATTTTGAAAATTTCGATTTTGTTATATTCACCTGTTATATTCACGTCAAATTTGACCAATCACCTTGTAGGATTTGTTATGTTCACTTAAACGATATCCTTCAAATACGCCTCAAATATTGTATGTCGACCACAATACAATTGGCTAACTAAAATTTACTTCAAAACCCCCTCTCTGCACATATTAGAACGCTGCTACGCTCGCTCGCTTCAGGCTCGCTCGCTACGCAGCAATAAAAAAGGGAATCCTTGATTATATAGCTTCAAGTTGAGACCCGTCGGAAAATTGTCAATGTTGTCGGAATCTTTGTGGTGAAGCATCGGAAAAAGTGATATGGAAATCGGGAAAAGTGCTACGAAAGCAATGTGATGTCCGGAACTGATTTTTTTTTACCAAAAAAGGTGTCGACGGGGGGGGGGGGGATTTGGTCGGAGAGATTTAAAATGTTGTCGTCCGGAAATTTTTTTGGCCCCACCTGGGTTTTTGCTGCCCCCCCCTGACCAAAAATCCTGGCTACACCTCTGTTCACGAGTTTTGATCTACCACCAGTAGATCAAAATTAGTTACCCTGATAAGCGACTCAACATCCGCCCTTTTCGATTCAGCCCAAATACCGTCGCTTGCAACAATCTCGAAACCAGAGCCCGCAATCCTCTGTGGAGGCTTGCTGAGGCTCTGGGAAACACCGGCGACTTTTGCACGAAAATCAGTACATTTGGATCCAGTACTCCGCTCGACATTTATAAATAGACATTACTGCCGTCAAATATGAATTGTGCCGTTGTTTAAGCTTATTACGACTTTAATTCTTCAAAGAACACTTGCCGTGGTTTTGAATTGTTGTAAGATACTGGTAGTGATTTATTTTAACTTGCTTAATTACTGTAAATCATAGATTTTTGTGTTATTTTAAATATTATAGGCAACGACTTATCATGACCTTATATGGTAATGCTGCACTGTTTGTTATTCTACATTTTGTTATTGGCATATCAATATCTGAATAGTCTATTGATTTCATATGAGAAGCTAGGGAAGATTAATAAGTTTATTAAAATTATGGTGTGTGTTTCATTGATATGTTTAAACATACTACACAATGCAATGAGAAATAAACTTTATATTAATTTTAAACGATGTTTGAAATCCGAATAACTAAATACGGCTCAAAGTTTGAATAATAATTAGCACTTGAAAAACTTTGAGGGCCGCCCGAGCTTGGGCCTGGGGACGAGGATGTTGAAAAACAACCAATCAGAGCCCGACTTTCACCGGTGTTTCCCAGAGCCTCAGCAAGCCTCCACAGAGGATTGCGAGCTCTGGTTTCGAGATTGCGCTTGCAACTAAGGTGGACAGTCGCAGATAAAAACATTGCCAACCTCGTTCCCAGGGCTTCAGTGTGAGGACGAGGCGAGACTGCCTCCTCCGCAGGCCCTCGTCATGTCATGGGAAGGTCACGATTTCGAGAGGGCCTGCGGAATCTTGTAAAATGAATAAATGTTGTTTTGAACCTGCTTTGTTAAAGAAGGCAGTTTTATTCGTGCAACGTTGGTGTGGACAACAAACCTTATCGTTAAAAATGCTTCCTTCCACGTCCTAAGAGTCGCCAGTTTAATTTACAAGTTTCACGCCGCTTTTTTATATCTGTTTATATTCAAGATTATGTAGAAATTTACTTGCTGACGTGACGCCGGCGCCATTTTTTTTTACAAGATTCCGCAGGCCCTCGCCAGATCGTGACCTTCCCATGACGCAACGAGGGCCTGCGGAGGAGGCAGGAGGCGAGACACGAGGAAGCCCTGGTCTGGGTCGGTCAATTGCAATTTTGCATTCTGATTGGCTAACACCATGTTGTCTAAAAATAACTGAACTTGACAGTTGACAATAACAATTCAACATTTGTATTTTTATGATTCTTGTGTGTACGAGTATGTTTTGCAAAATAATCTTTCAAAGTAAGTCGTTTTCCCGACTGCATGATTTACTTTCGCCTTGGCCGGTTACAAAACTCGAAAGCCGTGTCGAAGTGAGCTGTGATGTTTCCTGACAAAACAAGAAACGTCTACTATTATTTAAGCTGTAGTCATCCTTGTACAGTATTTATTAGTGCAGATGTCTGATGAAATACTACGCGTATTGCATTGTAGTAATATTTTAATTTACAATATTCTGTACTGACAAATAAAAGCAAGACAAACTACTAAATTAATTTAGGCCCTGTTTACTTAATAGCTCTACGCCTAGGCCGATGTAGTCTCTACAAGATTCGCAAGCCACCGAGTTTTACAGTTTCAGAATACCCCGAATACTTGAAAATTGCGACTATACGATAAAATAAAACAAAGATTGTGAAGGGGATAAAATTTGTAGGCAAGCATTGCTCCGGAACGGCAGGTGTTGGTGTCCGGCGAACTACAAGCGAATCCGTATATTCCTGTACAGCGTAAACAGGTTACGTGAGGTTTTATATTTGTGTTTATTTATATTGAACTAAGAGCATATTTAAACTAAATATTAATTATAGCAATAGCCATATTGTTCAAGACGAGAGAAAGGAAATTTCGTGTGCAGACCTCACCAGATCACGTCATGGACAACGGACGTGTAGACTTGAGCTCTGAAAAATTGGCCGAATCTTTATCAAGTTTTGTGGAAAGTGATGATTCCAGACATTGTGAATTGAATATAGAAAGCTCCTTAAATGCTGTAAACATTTTGTACAGCCATTTCTGCTATAAGAAGAACAAACTTAAATGGGCTGGTTCGTTGGAAGATCTGAAAGCCGTCGTGCTCACTGTAGTGGACGAACAAACAGCTGAAACTACAACCTGGCGATCGCCTAGCGGTGGTACGTGGAAATTCGACAGTAAGGCACTGTGTGTTACCTGGCAAACAAAGAGTCAGAATATTTATTTTGAGGGCGAAAACGGCGAGGAAGTGACCAAACGGATAATTTCGCACTTAAACCAAGGCGTGCACGCTTCGTTGAAAGCTTATTCTCTCGAAAGTAAAGCCACCGAAGCAGAACCGAGTGTGATTGAACTTATATCGGACAGTTGTCGCCAAAACAACAAGCAATTGAACGAAGACTGCAGAGAAATTACTATTGAGAATGGAGATGCGATGAATGAAAACGCTGATATCTCCTCTGCCGATCTGGCCGAAGCAAATTCTTGCTGCGCCTCTTGTATCAAGCAGAGCGAAGAAATTGATCAACTGAAGGCTGAAATAGTTTGTCTCAAGAAGTCGGTGAAGTCAAGCGAGTATATGCAAATTAACCGCCTGCAAAACGACAACTCTAGCTTAATCAAAACAGTTGAAATGCTTACAAAACAACTTCTAAATTTGAATACGGTTGATGCAAATATTGATCCCAGTTCTCAAGTATCGAAGGAACCCGCTCCTAAAGTGTCGAAAAAGCAGAAAAAGAGCAAGAAGAAGAAAATGAAGGCCAAGGAGGACATTGAATCGGCAGAAAAAAATGTTTCTCCGCCTCGTCAAGCACATGCTGCCCCCACTAGCGGTATGGAAAATGTGAATGACGATGTTGCAGCTACCACGAGCAAGAATAGAGCAAAAGAAGTGGTGGTAATTGCTGGTGATTCACTAATTAAGAATGTTGTCGGAGCAAGCATGAGCAAGACTGACCCTAATCACTATTACGTCGTTAAAGCATTCCCTGGTGCAAATCTTTCTGATATGGAAGATTTCATTAAACCTATCACCCGAAAATCACCCGAAAAAATCATCTTACATGTTGGAACGAACGACTTAAAGAATTCTCCTGCAAAAGTAATTGCCGATTCATTACTGAATCTGACGACCCAGATAAAGGAAGACTCGCCAACTACTGTGGTAGGTGTATCAGCTTTGTTGACCAGAAATGATAATGCAAACCTAGCCACTAAAGTTAAACAAGTTAACTTTATCCTAGATAATTATTGTCGTATGAATAAGATACCATTCTTAAGAAATGCTAATGTGAACAATTCTCACTTGAACAATAAAGGTCTACATTTAAATAAACAAGGCAGCGAAACTCTACAAAACAATTTTATTGAATTTACTAACAATTTTAATGAATGACTTGTTACGTATAATGTTGCTGAGTCTCTTGATAATGCGAATGCTGTCAATTCTAATACTAATAGCGACATAAATCCGCTTTTACCTAAGATGAGTGGTTTCAAAATTGCGTCACTTAATATAACTAGTTTAGTAAAACACATTGAGAAACTTCGAATTTTTCTAGCCGATAATATTATTGATGTTTTGGCTATCAATGAGACAAGGCTTGATTCTGCGGTTAGCGATAATGAGGTGCACATACAAGGTTATGAAATTGTTCGCCGCGATAGATACTTAAACGGTAGATGCGGTGGTGGTGTTTGTTTTTATATACGAAGTTGCATTAATTTTTCGGTACGATACGATTTGAAATTTGATGAAATGGAAAATTTATGCATTTCAATCAATAAACCTAGATCTAAGCCTTTTCTTATAGTGACATGGTATAGGCCACCAAATTCGGTCGTGGATAAGTTTAATCACCTAGAAACGCTACTAGGCAAACTTGATGCTGAAAATATTGAGTACTATCTGGCGGGTGACCTGAATTGTGATTTAAGCTCTACAGTCTTGATCATAGTTCAAGGTAGCCTGCATGGCAGGCGCAAAACTGGGTGTAAATGAACTACCGCCCCTGAAGCATCAACGCTATTTATAGATGCATTAATTAAGTAAATATTCAAAATTAGCCACTCCCAAGCTGCTCCCAAGTCCCAACTGCCCAACATAAAATAAATTCCTTGATTCTCATCACCGCCCGACTGAATTTTAAAATCCTCGTGAAAACGTTTTATTTTTCGTTATACAATATAAATGTACCGCCCGACAAAATAATTCAAGACAGTTAATTTTTTCATATTTTATATAGAGTTTTTATTGCCATTTTAAACTTCCAATTTGAAACAAACAGAATTTTGAGTGAAATTTCATTGTATTTTAAAGAAACCCAGTCATTCTGTCATTGTTCGTGGAGATACGAACTATTGATATATAAATTATATAAATATAAAATATAAAAAATAAATCTCCCACTGTCTTCGACATTTCAAAGTGTAGACTGTGTCTAGCGATGAGAATCAAGGAATTTATTTTATGTGCAGCCTTTAATATAAACCAAGCCGCCCGTTTAGCTGCCTTAAAATGGTGGTTTAATAAGCTCAAAATACAAAGCATGCAAGTCTATACTATAGATTCATCATCAGTCAACAACCAAACTGAAAGTATTGAACCTTATAGAACGATAGTTTTTATTTGTTTACAACTATACATATTCAACGGGTATATAAGAGTTTAACTGTTATTTGATAATTACTGCATCAACCGGCCCCTTGTTTATACTTTGGAGGTTCGTATATAATATCTATCAAGTATCTTTGGTTCAGAACATGACTGATAGGCCTATATGGAAATCCCACTGTTCGATTCAGTGAAGAAATATCTCCTAATTTCTATCGATAGTTTTAGTAAAATGTCAACATTATTGCGATTTATGGCGAGATAGTATATTATCAAATTAATACGCATGTAATTGTCTGAACGAAAATATAGACTAGCCCATACCTTTCGCCGATCATAACTTCGGCCCCTTCGGACGTATCTTCTTTGTTAAATATTCTTGTTCGAATCTCTATCAATAACACTATTTAGAGTGTTATTTTTCAGCTTGTATCTTTTAATTTGCTTCTTTTATTATGTTATTCCATTTCTGGTCTGACTTGACGTGAACTAATTTCAAAACGCAGAGTTTCAAAACGTCAAAACATTTGGTTAATGATTAACATTTAACCGAATTTAGCCGTTGATTGACAACTACATAAAAATACTAACCAATCCGTTTTTCCCGTTCACCAGCGGACGGGTAATTCAAAAACCCCTAGTTTTGCGGCAGACGGTATTTCCTTTGCTTCCCTAATTTTCGCTGCCCGTATAAATATCGCCTGCCATGCAGGCTAGCGAGTGGCGAGAACACAACGGCACAAAATATAGCCTGCATGGCAGGCGGTACGTAGGAAATACCGCCTGCCGCAAAACTGGGTGTAAATGAACTACCGCCCCTGAAGCATCAACGCTATTTATAGATGCATTAATTAAGTAAATATTCAAAATTAGCCACTCCCAAGCTGCTCCCAAGTCCCAACTGCCCAACATAAAATAAATTCCTTGATTCTCATCACCGCCCGACTGAATTTTAAAATCCTCGTGAAAACGTTTTATTTTTAGTTACACAATATAAATGTACCGCCCGACAAAATAATTCAAGACAGTTAATTTTTTCATATTTTATATAGAGTTTTTATTGCCATTTTAAACTTCCAATTTGAAACAAACAGAATTTTGAGTGAAATTTCATTGTATTTTAAAGAAACCCAGTCATTCTGTCATTGTTCGTGGAGATACGAACTATTGATATATAAATTATATAAATATAAAATATAAAAAATAAATCTCCCACTGTCTTCGACATTTCAAAGTGTAGACTGTGTCTAGTGATGAGAATCAAGGAACTTATTTTATGTGTTAATATAAACCAAGCCCGTTTAGCTGCCTTAAAACGGTGGTTTAATAAGCTCAAAATACAAAGCATGCAAGTCTATACTATAGATTCATCATCAGTCAACAACCAAACTGAAAGTATTGAACCTTATAGAACGATAGTTTTTATTTGTTTACAACTATACATATTCAACGGGTATATAAGAGTTTAACAGTTATTTGATAATTACTGCATCATGCAACCGGCCCCTTGTTTACACTTTGGAGGTTCGTATATAATATCTATCAAGTATCTTTGGTTCAGAACATGACTGATAGGCCTATATGGAAATCCCACTGTTCGATTCAGTGAAGAAATATCTCCTAATTTCTATCGATAGTTTTAGTAAAATGTCAACATTATTGCGATTTATGGCCTTTGAAAGTCAAGCGAGATAGTATATTATCAAATTAATACGCATGTAATTGTCTGAACGAAAATATAGACTAGCCCATACCTTTCGCCGATCATAACTTCGGCCCCTTCGGACGTATCTCCTTTGTTAAATATTCTTGTTCGAATCTCTATCAAAAACACTATTTAGAGTGTTATTTTTCAGCTTGTATCTTTTAATTTGCTTCTTTTATTATGTTATTCCATTTCTGGTCTGACTTGACGTGAACTAATTTCAAAACGCAGAGTTTCAAAACGTCAAAACATTTGGTTAATGATTAACATTTAACCGAATTTAGCCGTTGATTGACAACTACATAAAAATACTAACCAATCCGTTTTTCCCGTTCACCAGCGGACGGGTAATTCAAAAACCCCTAGTTTTGCGGCAGACGGTGGCATGTAGTAAAACACTGACTACCGGAACACCGGAACACCACCGGAACACCGGAACACCACCATTTTGTTTGGGGTTAGGGTTTGGGTTAGGGTTAGGATTGGGGGTTAGGGTTGGGGTTAGGGTTAGGATTGGGGGTTAGGGTTGGGGTTAGGGTTCCTTTGCCTCCCTAATTTTCGCTGCCCGTAGAAATACCGCCTGCCATGCAGGCTAAGTTCAAGGTTGCTCATTGATATTGCTGAAACATTCGATCTTCAACAACTGATAACTGAACAAACTCGAATTACAAGTTCATCGTCAACATTGATAGATCACATTTTTACAAACGCTCCTGATAGAGTGGTCTGCTCTGGTGTTTCTCACATTAGTATAAGTGATCATAGTCTTGTTTATGCCTTTAGAAAACTTTCCGCCAGAATGCCGACAAGAGGACATACTACAGTAAGCTATAGAAAGTTTAAAAACTTTGATTCTGCCAAATTTCGTAATGATATTAGTCAGCAAAACTGGGACTTTATCCATCAATTTAAGAATCCTAATGATATGTGGCATACTTGGAAGAACACATTTAATTTTGTTGTAGAAAAGCATGCTCCTTTACGCACAAAGCGTGTCAAGGCCTCTAAAGCGCCTTGGATTTCATCTCACTTGAAAGGTGAAATGCACAAAAGACATATTCTTAAAATGAAGGCAATCCGGTCTAATGATCCTTTAGATTGGCATATTTTTAAGAAAATGCGAAATTCCGTAAATCAAAATATTGCCCGGGCGAAGGAAAACTATTTTAAACGTGCGTGTTCTGAAAATAAATCCAACTCGAAAAAGACCTGGAATATTATTAATGATCTCACATCTAAAAATCGAAAAAGCTCGCATATTCACGAAGTTGATTTGGATGGTAATTTGATTAACGATTCCAACAAAATTGCTGATGCTTTTAATGAACACTTCTCTAACATTGGTCCGAAGCTTGCAGATAATGTAGATGTTAATCAGAATAATCGTTGTTATCTCGATTATTTACCTAGTCAAAATAACAACATTCGTTTTCAATTAAAAGAAACTAATTTCTCTGCAGTTTTCGTCCTTTTGTCCTGGCTAAGTAGGTCAAAAGCTACTGGTCTGGACAAAATTTCGTCCCGCCTACTTCGAGAGTGCCCTGATTTAATAGCGGAATCTCTTAGCTACATTTTTAATCGATCAATTGTCTCCGGAGTATTTCCAGATGAGTGGAAACACGCTAAAGTTGTCCCAATACACAAACAAGGGAAACGTAATTGCCCTGACAATTATCGTCCGATTTCCATTGTCTCGGTAGTGGCTAAGGTTTTCGAAAGGATAATTTATGATCAGCTGTATTTATTTCTATCTGAAAATAGTCTGTTAACTAATTGTCAGTCGGGATTTCGTGGTCTACATTCTACGGTTACCGCCCTTCTTGAGGCCACTAACGATTGGGCTTATAATATCGATCATGGAAGCGTAAATGCTGTCCTGTTTCTCGACCTCAGGAAGGCGTTTGATACCGTAGACCGCGAGATTCTTTTAGGAAAACTAAATTCATATGGCATCAATGGTGTTGCTGGCAACTGGTTCAGATCATATCTCAGTGAACGGAAACAAAAACGTTAATGGTCATTTTTCGACAAATCGTTTACTCCGTTGCGGAGTTCCCCAGGGAACTATTCTGGGGCCACTTTTATTCTTAATCTATATCAATGATCTCCCGAATTGCCTTTCTCACTCACGTGCACGCATGTATGCAGATGACACTCATTTGACTTACGCAAGTAACGATATTGATGACATTGATCATCACTTCAACGAAGATCTTGCTAAAGTCAGTGAGTGGTTAGTAGCCAACAAACTTACTTTAAACCAATCTAAAACAGAATTTATGCTAATCGGCTCCCGTTAAAGGATTAGTACTTTCAACTCTAGTCCTTCACTGACAATAAATGACGTACCAATTAAACAAGTCTCTCACACAAAGTCACTTGGTGTACATTTAGACGAGAACTTGACTTGGAATGTTCATATCAAGAAATTATGCAAAAAAGTCGCTTCTGGCATAGGTGCATTAAAGCGTATAAGGCCATTCGTCCCACCTTCCACAACGCAACTTATTTACAATTGCTTAGTTCAACCCTATTTCGATTACTGTTGCGTTGTCTGGGATAGTTGCGGCAGTACTCTTGCGAATAAACTGCAAAAACTCCAAAATCGAGCCGCTAGAGTACTTACTTCATCTAGTTATGATACAAATGCTGAATATCTAATTGAAAAATTGAGCTGGAAAAACCTTGAATCTCAGCGAAAAATTGCCAAAGCTATAATGGTCTATAAATCTCTTAATGGTTTTGTGCCAGACTACCTGTCTGAAATGTTTGTTGATCGAAGTATATGGGCGGCCGTTACCACCAAAAATAATGTAATCGTGAAACGGCATATGTAATCGTGAAACGACATATGTAAACTTAAAACGACATATGTAAACTTGAAATGGAATGTGTAAAAGTCAAACCGTATGTCCTCGCGTGTCTAAATGGTATATGTTAAAGACAAATGGTATAACAAAACGCGCAATCGCATATGTCTTTGTTGAATGAAATAGCATGTTTTGTCAAATGGCATGTTTTGTCAAATGGCATGTTTTGTCAAATGGCATGTTTTGTCAAATGGCATGTTTTGTCAAATGGCATGTTTTGTCAAATGGCATGTTTTGTCAAATAGCATGTTTTGTCAAATGGCATGTTTTGTCAAATGGCATGTTTTGTCAAATAGCATGTTTTGTCAAATGGCATGTTTTGTCAAATAGCATGTTTTGTCAAATGGCATGTTTTGTCAAATAGCATGTTTTGTCAAATGGCATGTTTTGTCAAATGGCATGTTTTGTCAAATGGCATGTTTTGTCAAATAGCATGTTTTGTCAAATGGCATGTTTTGTCAAATAGCATGTTTTGTCAAATGGCATGTTTTGTCAAATAGCATGTTTTGTCAAATGGCATGTTTTGTCAAATGGCATGTTTTGTCAAATAGCATGTTTTGTCAAATAGCATGTTTTGCCAAATGGCATGTTTTGTCAAATGGCATGTTTTGTCAAATGGCATGTTTTGTCAAATGGCATGTTTTGTCAAATGGCATGTTTTGTCAAATAGCTTAACGCACGTGGTCACGTATTTCATAAATAGAACATGACGTTTCCAGTGCAAAAAAGCGGGAATTTTTGCAACAACAAAGCAACGTATTCACATCCAAGTTATTAGAAGAAAAGTACGTATATTTTCGTTATTTTTACATATTAATGCCTAAGATTTATTATCATGGTAATGATTTAGTTCACAACTAGTTTTGATTGTAATTTCGTTGAGTTATATTGTCCATCAGTAAGTAATTTATGTATAAAGTGCACGCTCGACTGATCGAGCTTTTACCACTCCACAGAGTTTAGTATATAAAATTATTGAATAAATTTTAAATATCATCGATATTTTGAACATACTAGTATGTAGTTCACGCAGAATGCTTGACATTATGTAAATAATAAGAGCAGCACTTTACCCGTAGGCGAAACGTTTTTAAAATATTTATTCGCCACGCCACACGGTACAATTTACGGTTACGGGGAAACGCGGATTGCGGATTGCGGACCGGGTTATTTTTAGTAAGATATGCAAAAGCCTTAATACAAATAGCATATAGTAAAAAGGTATGTCACTGCATGAAGGTATTTTTAATAGTCAAATTATTTTTTTAGAATTGCAATCAAGTTTTCTTGTAAAGTATACATAATGGTAAGTTAATATTAATCATATCATCACCTTCCATGGGAAGCCTAAGGTTGATTGATGTGCAGGAAATCCATCTAATATTTAAAATTTTGTTACAGAGCAATAACAACAACACCACCACCAACAACAACAACCATGTGAATAGTGTGCTTAGGCAATTGATTGGTCAACTCAATACTCACCTGTCAACTTTGAATCAACCCTCAACCCCAAATCAGCCCTCAACCTATGATCAACCGACAACTCCCAATCACCCTTTCTTCTCTAATCACCATTCCACCTCTAATCACCCTTCCACTTCTATTCACCCTTCCACTTCTAATCACCCATCCACTTCTAATCACCCATCCACTCCTAATCATCCATCCACTTCTAATCATACTTCCACTTCTAATCATCCTTCTGCTTCTAACCATCCTTCTACTTCTGATCACCCTTCCACTTCTAATCATATGTCTACTTCTAATCACTCTTCTATGTCAAGGCAGCCTTTAATATATCATCACCTTCCATCAGGAAGGCAGCTTAGTTCAAACACAATGCCTGCTGTTGCTGAACATAGAAGATTGTTTACAAGGCAGTCTGTAAGTGTTTTTTGTATGTCTAAGACATTGTAAAATTTATATAATAAATTATTTATTTTGCAAAGTAACCATTTAGGTTTAACATAGGCATATTGTGAATTGTATTAGATTTAACACAGGCAGTTTCATTTTTAATAGAGACTTCAACCCTACAGATCATCAAATGGAAGAAGGGCAGCAAAGGGTGGGTTATGTCTCCCTATGCCTTTTTCTACACAGGGGAGTCGAATGTCTTAGTTGCTAAATTAATACTTATGCCTATATCGAATGTTTCAAATGAAAAAATGTAGCGCTTAATCAGAGTTAGATTCAGGGTTTGATTTACAGTTAGATTTAGGTTGGATTCGGGTGGGGATTGGGATTACATTTGTGTATTCTGAACAAGCAATTGTTACAGAAATCACACGTTTGTGTTGAAAATGAAAATTTGAGGCAATATTATGAAAATTTATCTTTTAATACTGGGCGGCATTGACTAAACAAACATATGTCGTCCAATCCAAGAAGCGTGTGCTTCAGACGCCTGCTTTAGGTTAGCATTGAAAATGTGACCATGTAAAGAGCATTAAACCTTTTAATATTAATTCTTTTCCTAATATTTATTTTTTGGTACAACCACATACACAAGCGGTGCAGTTAAGTAATCTATATCTGATATGAAGCCTTTGATGCGGACGTGATTTTTATTTTTGAAGTAATTCATTAATTCAAGTCAAACATCTTTTGATATAGAAAGATCTGTTACAAAAACATTATTCTGCTTGGCAGAAAAACATAGTGAGTCGACACCATCCACGAGGGAAAAGTTAACCCTTCTCCGAAATGGCCTGGGAGAAAAACGGGTAGCATTTCCTGCGGCTGCTTCAAGTGCAGTTGTTAAGGAAAGAGTTTACAAGTAGGTTATCTTCTTATTAAATTTACAAGGGCAATAGTGGAATGAAAAATTGACAATGATTAAAAATTAAGCTATTGTAGATATAGCCATAGTCTCGTATTGCCAGTGGCGTAACTAGAACGTTAATTGGGGGGTATATTCATATATTCGTGTTCTGCCAGACGGATTTCTTTTGAAATGAAATTAAAAACAACTGATTTCAAAAGAAATCCGTCGGGCAGAACACAAATATATTAATATACCCCCCCCCCCGAATTAACGCTGCATGGCGTAAAGACTGTTTCAGTTACTGTCGGTTCCAGTTACTGTCCATAAATGTGAAAAGGATCGTTTTGTTAGTTTACTCAAAAAACCTAACCCCACATAATCTCCAGCATGTCCGTCAAAAACGCCGAAAAAAGACCAATTATCGAACCCGTTCGGCAATCCTATTCTCGCAGTATCGGCGTCCTCCATCTCAAAAAAAAAGTATTAAAACTATTTCGTAGTATATGTACTATTTGTACGGAATATTATACTAATGTTGATATTTTACAAAAAAAAAGCGATTACATCTATATTACACATGTATGCATTGCATAATCGAGTATTTATATTAAAAGTCGCAATAATAATATATTGGAGGAATAATATACGTTTGCTACAAGTCACATTCTGTATATTTGTATTATTCCAGGGCTTACCCGATGTTAAAACATGCTGGGGGCTTCCAGTTTCTCCTCTCAAAAGAAGGTTCGAGAAAACAACTCCAAGTTATGTCTTATGGCAGTTGTGATGCAGAGCAGCTAAGATGCTTTGGGACAGGAAGGGTATATGTTCGCCCTTTGCAAAAAAGTATTCCACTTACAGACGATAACAACTCGTGTGTCGAATACGAAGAATGCTTGTTTTGTAATCTTTCTGTTTCTGTTAAAGATATGCAAAAGCATTGTGAAGATTGTCATGTAAGATACTTTAGTTCACTTTACAAGTCTATAATAAGACCCATCGCCCATGAAAAGCCGTCTTAAGAATATTAAATGCAGAGTTTCAGGCAATATCCTGTTCAAATACACAT